CACTTATTTCTGGTAACACAGTAAGGTATTTCTTCAACACATGGATCTACGTACAAGTAACAATATTCATTGACAAAGGATAGTTCGTTTGAGCTGTCTTTATCCTTTCTACAGTGAGATCTTTTCTTAACTAGTTTTCCAGCTGACATGACCGAAGCACGGGGAAGTGGTGATGTATTGTTGCACAGTAAGCTAGTAAATGTTTCCTAAATGCCAGTCTTCCTGGTATTTCTGAGAACCTATAGCAATTGCAGAATGAAACATTAAAACTTCTAACATTTTTATTCATCGCAGTTGGTTTTAACTCATAAGAGAACTCAAGTGCTCATATAAACAAAATGAGATGATTTAAATGTCTGGACATAAAGTTTGGCTGCCTGATGTCATACCTGTGTCAAAAACTCTAGTATACAAACACTCTGTTTCTTTCTTTTTCTTTCTTTCTTTTTTTAATTTGTAGTTTACATTAGCAATAGGAGAGGCTATATTTGTCAGGGAGATTATTGCATATCTTGAATGATCAGTCCCCTTTTAATGATATGCACTGTAAAATCCTTGTGCTGTGTAGCTTTTATTCAGCATGATGTGAAAATCAACTAGTGCTTCACAATGGGGAGTCTTAATTGTCAGCACTAAGAGGTTAGTATTTTGTCTGGCTTATAAATTAACACATATGGTTAAGGTTATGCCCTAGGCTTGCAAGTGGTTTGACTTTGAGGTGTGAGAAATATAAAGTGAGGGTGTGGGGTATGGAAGGTTCCCAAGGAAGAGAATATCTCAATTGGAAATAACCTGAAATAACATTCCTTTAAGATGAAAATAACTTAGTACTTTTCCACAATCTTGCAAATTCTCATGAAAATTTACCAGGACAGGCACAAAACGGACTTGTGCCTAGGCTGTTAACACACAAATATTTTATTTTTTGTGGCCATCAAAAATTAACTTGCCTTTAAATTTTAAAATATGGTAATGATGAATTTGTATAATGTTTTGTTGTACCTAGAATTCATGGTATCCTCTAATAACATTGACTTGTGAAAATTCACCTGTTTATTCTGAGTCACTCAAGTTTGCCTTTATAGATCAGATAATTGGAGGTGGTGTGGGTGTGGGGCAGTGTATTTTTGAAGAAAATTCATGTGTATATCTCTGGTATAGTATATGATTGATCATGTCTATGTTGAAAAGCTTTTAAATCTCTCTGGTCACTTAAGGATGTTGTTGGAAAGTGTGAAGTGGATTTTCACATTTTAATAAACTACTTTTACTTCCTGTTTCCCTCCCTTAGGGATTAGGTGTTTTTAATGCCAATGTACTTAAGTATTTTGTTTAAGGATGATATAGGGAATAATATAACTCTTATCTGCAAGTTAATATTATTTGCATGTAGTACAGTACTAAAGGGAGCTAGTGTACTAATCCCTCTAGTTTGTTAGTATAGAATGTATCAATGTTATTTCTGAATTCTAGGGAGGGAGCCTCCAAAGTTGGTTATCTATGCAGTGACTAAACTGTGTTTAGTGAAAGATTCTTCCTCCCTTCTGGTTCTTTTGAAACATAGTGTTAGTTAATAAGACTGGAAAATTTCCATAAAACCATTAAGGGGAGAATAAACTCCCAGCATCTCTCCTTTCTCTCTTGGAAGCTGTGAGATAAAAGCCATCTTATTGTATGATCATATTTTTTTGCTGCTTCACTTGATATATGAACAGAGTAGTTTCAAGTTGCTGTATGTGACTTATAGTATACCTTAAGGTTGTGTAGTTCTTTGGATTTTTCACCATAGGTGAATATCAATTTACCTAGCAAAATTAAGTCAAGTACCAGAGAACCTTCTTCTTATTGCTCATGCTGTCATTCTTAAAGACCAGCTGCATAGACAAGAAGCTTCCTGTAAAGGCTTAGTAATGTACATACTCCTGTTGTGTTCTTATGTTGAGATTAATGTTGAATTTCCTGGCCAGAAGTGAGAGTAATAATGACAGAGCTAGCAGTTGGGGAAATTAGAATATAATTTTGTAGGTGTATTGATGGGGATGGTTTTGGGTGTCAGTGAATAAAATGTTAGAATTAAGGCTGAGGGAGCCATGTAGCTACCTCTTAGTAATGCAGACATTTGGGGGGAGGGAGGCAACTCCGAGACAGTAGGCGAGAACCTGGGCTATATACTTGTAGCATGTGTCAAATGTGCAGGACTGACGGCCCTGGAGACCCAAATCCTCCATTCACAGGAGGCAGCAATGCTCTGGCATAGGCTAGTGTTAATGTCATCTTTGCTTTCTGATTTTTAAAATGTATTCATATCTTCATAGTATTTAAATAGTATTCATATCTTCATAGTCATATCTTCAAATCTCCGTTTATACTGCAGATCAGTTTACAACCCTGTGGACTCATTTTTATTTTGTGCATAAAATCATTACTCTATGGAAGTTAGGACAATTCTGTTCAGATACATTTACTTTCTCATTAGTACACTGCCTGTATTTATTTAAAGGGTAAAAATTACAGTAATTGTTTTTCAGCATTAAATTGTTTAATCCCATTTGATCATATTTTTGAGGAACCCAAAGAGCCTGGCTGTTAATATCACTTTGTCAATGTCTTTCTTTTGGGCCAAGACAAACTAGAAAGACTGTTTTGGAGAAGAAGAAAAAAGGGTGGGGAAGGAAGCAACCTTCTGCCTTTTGACCAATGGTTTTATCAGCTCAGTGACTTTATACGTGGGTGGAAACGGTACTGCAGAACATGGTGATACTTGCTGTTTTCCCTGCAAACCATTCATGTTGTCAGGGATGCAGTCTAGTCCAGTCTGAACTGTGGTTACTTACAGGTAGGCACTTTATAATCATTCAGATACACTATTAATAACTGCATAAACAATTCATTAACACTTCAAAAATTTGAAAAGGTATAGACATTCCAGCTCTCTGGTGGGACTACAGGTACATATTTTTTTAACAGCTGCTCTGTTTTGTACAGAAGATGTGCAGAACTTTTCAATGAGTGTTACTGTAACAGTACTTTGAGTGCTATGTGGTAAAATTAGCATGTTCACACCATGATTTATTTTTGCATGAAAAAGCTAAATGTATAATATGGAAAAATAAAAACAAGCTAGACATCATGTAGTGTCAATCCATTTTAATTTGCTAAAATATTGGATGAATATATGAGTTTGCACATTTGTACTACTCCTATGCTGAACTACTCTATGTAGAAAATAGTAGCTGATGGATAGAAAATGCTGATGTACCTTCACCCATGGAGGATCAACAGAACTGATGTGCTGTACACAGTTATTGTGATTTCTGTGTTCTTGGAATAAAACACTAGAAGGTCAAGACTATTACTATTGCTTACAAATATTCGGTAAAAGCTCATCTTTTAATGTCTGTACATGTTTCTTTAGAACTGTCTTCCTTTCAAGACAAGGAGGTGAACAGAATCCTATTTACCAGAAACAATGAGTAATGTGGAAGCTTGAGGGAAAATTACCGATAGTAAATATGTATAAAAACCATTAGGCACAGTGAGAACTTGTTGGCTAAGAGAGAAACACAATCTACCAATTCCCAAAAGTCAAAATATGAAAATAAGAACTATAAAGATGGTCTGTCTTTTCCTTTGACCTTAGAGGTTCCTTCATCAAGACTTGTTTCTGGTTGTAATATAGAACCTTACCATTATAGTGTTTTAGAAATTAGTTTTGTTACTAGTTTAAAAATGTCCATTGAGATACGTAAACATGTTCTTGTTTCAATTAACACAACACTAATTTTTATACTGAGGTTGATGTGTAAGGTAATGCCCAATAGAAAAATATAACTAACACAATGAAGGATGGACTGAAGTATACTACATGTACAGTGCATAGTACACACTATTTTGTTACCTATTTTGGTCTGTTGTACTAAATTTTGAGGCACTCTATTTATAGTTGTGATGGGATTTCAGCCATTACAAGAGGCATTGATTTTGCACTTGTCCTTGTGATGTTTGAAGAACCACCTCTATTTTTAGCCTCCAGTGCTGGAAGTCAGGAATCCTCAGTGCAAATACACACTGTAAATGAACACATTTGACTCCCTAAAATTGTACTTTATTTCTCTCTCTTAGATGTGAAATATAGTGGGCACAATATTTTCCAATATCAGCCTTTTGTAACACAAAGTAGATGTATTTTGAAAGCGTTGTTAAACCATAGCATCACCTATAGAGGGTCCTGTGGCACCTTTGGACCCTCTGTTGCTTTTTACAGATTCAGACTAACACGGCTACCCCTCTGATACTTAGCATCACCTATGTTTGTCTTTGGTGTGCCAGACATAGTTCCATGGCTGGTCAGAAAGAACTGGGCTAAGACATTTTTAAAAAAAATGAGCTGGAGTTTACTTGAACAATCCCCTTCCAAATTCTAAACCATGCTGAAATAGCCAAAATTCTTGCTTAAATGAAGAATTTCTCTGTCTGAGGGTCTGGCCAGTTTCTTTCAATATGAACAAGATAACGCTGTGTCCATTTCCACTCTAGGTATCTGCAGTATATGTAATCAAGATGGAGACTACAGACAATAAATAGCATATTCCTGTGATCAAAAGTACTTTTTAAAAACAAAACGTGGGCAAGTGGAGTAGGCCATACTAAGATCAGGAGTAGTGTTAGGAATAGTTCTTCCAACATCAGATAACAGAAATTACTTGGATTGTAGCTGAATGGAAGTGTTAGCTTTAGAGTTTGATTATTATTATTTTTCTTTTTTTGGTGACTAGTCTAGAATGGAGGCAAGTTGCCATTAGTTTGTGTGATGAGGCTGTATGGTTATCACTTTTCTTTTGATTTGTGCAGTGTGACTAGATGAATATAACTTTTACTTTCTGATACTGGAATGAAAGCTGGACTCTTTAATATGTTTGCTTTTGTAAGGTCATCAAATCTGCATTAACCCACGGTCTTCATCTAGAAACCGTTTCTATAACTTTCCTTTCTCCTCTCAGCTTCAGACTGACACGCTAATGACTGGTGAAAAGCAGCGTCTAGCCCACTGGGAAGTGTTCATGAAAGACCAACACAGCAAACGAGGAGAAGTGGATGAAGAGCACAGAAAAGCTATGGAGCGCCTTAAAGAACAATATGCTGAGATGGAGAAGGACCTGGCTAAATATTCTTTTTAAGACCTTTTTCGTTGTTGTTGTTTTTCTGTGTGTGCCAGTACTCTCTTGCTTCAGACTTATCAGAACAACAGTGAGGTTCTTTCAGAAAGCCTAATCAAAATAGAGGTAAAACAACCCCCACATCCTGCTGTAACTAGAACAAAAGTTTGATTTAGCAAGAAGAGTTTTGCATACCTCCAACTTTAAGTGCCTCTACAAGCTTGTTTTGTTCAAGGTAATTGGTGTTATCACTATCTTAGTTTGTAGGACAGGCAGGTTTAGAAATGGAGTTCTGCCTTTATACCATGGCTACATCAATTTAGGGAGTTGCAAACTAGAATTCCTTAGCTTGTGAAGACAGCCTTGTCTGCGGGGAAGAAAACAAAAACTGAATTATCTCTGTATAAGGCCACAGCCCTGCCATAGAGAGCAGGTATTATAAATGCAAGCCATGCTTGACTGAAATTAGGATGTACACACACTCATTAACAGTTATTTTGGGAAAAGCAGCATGTCTTGCGAAACAGTGGATTCTGAAAGGCTAGAATGCGTTACTCAGGTATAGTTACAGCTGCACTGTTAGGAAGTAGAGTTGAGATATTGATTGCTCTCTAAAATAGCACCACAAGAGTGGCTGTGAGGTCACAGGAAACCATGATTTTTCTCTCTATGTAACTGGCTCATGTTCTTGTAGCTTTACACTCCTAAGAATACCTTCCACCGCCCAAACCACCTAAAAGTAACTTTTAAAAGTATATCAGTCCTTCCATTAGCCTTTTATCAGGTATGGTATTTACCTTAAGTATTCGTCCTGCCATTGGTGCACTCAGTAGGATGAGCAATGCCCACCTTATTGGGACTTATTACCTAAAATCTGTTGTGATAACCTTAATACAGTTGAGGAAAGATCTCTTTGTTTTTGTCATGGCATGGCATGGTAATCAAGTAAGTGGCATTAAAAATGAAGCATCTGCAGTATTAATTTGTGTTCTGATTAACAGGAGTATTTGTGAGCCCCTGTGATCACCGTGATCTTTTCTTTTTATTTAAAATCTTCATGTAATAGCAATATAACTGAATGACTAGCTTAATTATCCTTTTGTAAACCAAGTGAAATTAAATGCAATAACAGAAGGAAACTTGATGCAAGCTAACCTGAGGGACAGGAAGATCTTTCAAATATTACTTTAAGTACTATGCAATATAAAATAAAAACAGGTAAAAATAAACAGAACTTGCTCATTATCTGTGTTGGAATTGCACTATGCAGACAATGGTTGCCTGTGTAAATTTATGGCTTGGTGTCAAGGCTCCATTCCTGGCAGCATGTTGATAATGTGATTAAAGTTAGCAGAGGAGATGGAATAAGTATTTGAGATTTCTTTCAATAACACTGAATTCCTGCCAAACTGCTCTGTCCGCTACTGTAGGCCTGACAGCTTCATCAATCATCATCAGGTACCTGGACTGAAAGAGCACTTGCTGACACTGGAGCATGGTGGAATGTTGTTTAATTCTGTTGTGAATGGAAAAAACATAGATGGCTCCAAAGTATTCCACATATAAAAAGTGAGGAGAACCTACTAACAAAAACCCCTATTGAATGGAAGATGATTTCTGGATTTATCTCTGTTATGTACCCATTCATGAATGGATGCTGTAACTAAGAGCCCGATTTACGTGCTTCATCAGAAAAACAGAAGATAATGTTGCCTGTCTTTAGGGTCCAGAGTCTCAATAGCATTTGTTCATTTTAAGGATAAACTGAAAACACTCTGTTTTCCACGAGAGGTTTTAAGAATAAATGTCCTCAAAACCAAAATAACTTTCTGAAAAATGTACTCCTCTACCCCAATATAACGCAACCCGATATAACATGAATTTGGATATAATGCGGTAAAGCAGCGCTCCATTGGGGCAGGGCTGCGCACTCGAGCAAATCAAACCAAGTTCGATATAACGCGATTTCACCTATAACGTAGTAAGATTTTTTTTTTTTTTTTTTTGGTCTCCCAAGGACAGCATTATATCGAGGTATAGGTGTACTTTAAGTCTCATTTGGTACTGAGTGAGTTTGATATGTGTTTTATTCCTATAAAATAATACATAATATCAGATCCACTCAGTTTTGAACAAAAGTAAACCTACCTGCATCTCTATGTCCCACTTGAGTGCTGATAAAAATGATATAGATGTTGCAAGGCTAGTGTATGCTGAACATCTGCACAAGAGTAATAATTTTAAGCCTAGAACTGCACTTCATTGGCCAAGAAAGCCCAAAATAAATTAAATGAATGATACTACCTAAGGTTAACTCTTTTCAAAAGCCAGTGGTACTTTGTGCTTTTGAAAATTCCCCCTCAATATTCATTTTGGGAATTTATGCATTTAGGAAATATTTTGAAGAAAAGTGCTTAAAGTTGATCTTTAACATACAAACAAACATCAATCTGCTTGTTGGCCCACTTCATTGGGAGACTACAAGAAAAATATTTATCACTATTAAGTTATTCAGTAGTCTTTATTAATTTTTAAAAATATCTATTGTGCTGTAGCTCTTGAAATAAATTAACAGTACATACAACTTGACTTTAGAGTGGTTTAGCAAGGTGGATGAAAAAATAATGCTTGGTTCTAAAATTTAAAAGGAAAACTAGTGGTGCTTAGTTATAGCTTAGATAGGTCAATAAGTGCATCATGTATGTATATATATATATATATGATTATTTTTTTTAACCGGTCACTCTTTCAATATTTGTTTAGCGAATGAGGCTGTGGTCTATCAGGAGGCTAATGATACTTAAAATCCTACACTATCATTTTCCAGTAGAGCCCCTGCTGAGAAGTATCAGTTTTACCCATTTGAAGAAAAAATGCATATGAAGGGAGTTTCAAAGTTGGGTGGTAAGCTATGTAAAAGCAATTACGTGTTTAGCCTCGCTTAAAATGTTTAAATTCTTAACAATTAAACTTTCCAAAATCGCTTGAGTACTGATACAACTACCATTAAAGTTGGTTGTTAGTTAAAAAAAAAAATTACCGGTGGAGTCTACTGGGAGTTGGATCAGGCCTTTGACTTTTGCTACATTTGAATGATGATGCTGATGTTTGCAATCCCGCTTTGTATCAGACTAAGATGGTAGCTTTCTGCTTGATTGTTACTACTTTTATATTTAGTAGTCCAAGTCTAAACTATATTGATTTATTCTTCTTTGTAACTAGAAGTAGTGGGTAGAATATCGTATACTCACTCGAATTTTCCTTAAATTTTAAGATGAGCTTTCTGTTTTGACACCTACAAAACAAGAAAGCAATACTTCTACTTGAAGGATGGTGGGGGAAAAACTGCTTCTGCAATGGTAATAGCCTGCTTAAAAGTATTACTTAGACTAATAGTAGAATAGTCATGATACTTTTTATTTTTGTAATATTGATCAACGCCTTGTTTAAAAAATAAAATTTAAAAATCCTCTGTTCAGCTGTTCTGGACCTCTAATCTCTTTGATGCCTAAAGCAGACCTTTTATTTTTAGTAGGGGGAAGAGGAAGCGAGACTCACTTAGATTCTGCTCCCACCTATACCAACCCTAGATGAAACCTCTTAAGAGAAATTCCACATCCAATGACTTGTGGTTGGAATATCACCTCTTCACTGACTTTTTATTTATGAAATATATTTTAAAAAACTTTTGATCAAATTTTGTCTCTCAAATAACTTGTATTAAAATGGAGAAAATAAATGAAAACATTATCACCCATGATTCATTTCATTAAGAGGAGTTAATTCTCCAGTTGAAAAGGGTGTTTTACCTCTGTACACACCCTGGGCTCTGAAATTTGCAGGTACTCAGTGGTAGATGACAATGTGAGTATGACTGCTTTCAAACAGAGAGGCAAACGTTCCTTAATCATACTAGCATAGTCGCACAGATATGCTAAAGAATGATATATAATTGGACTCCAAAATAACTATATGGTAGCTTTTGTACCAGTAAGTAGTGAGACATGTGTTGGACCAAACTACAGATATTCTAGCCAAAAAGCTATACTACTTACCTGCAGTATTTTGCCTGCTTTTTTTGAGGACCAGTAGTGCTACAAGTGCTTCTTGCTACTATGATGATACATCTGATACAGTCTAAGAAGAGTTGTTGCTATTGTAGATTCTGTTTAAATAAAAGTTAGCCTAAATGTGTTTCTGAAGTGGAGGCTGACATCACTATGAGACAGTTAGGTGCGTTTTTCACTGCCACCCTTATATAAACAGTGGATCAAGTTGTCTGAAATGGCTTGAATTAAAGCAGTGGGCTCTTGTCAGAGGAAGCTTCTGACCCTTTTAGTTATCCCAGAGTGATAGCACATACTGGAACTAGCAGAAACCAGATTGCTATACAATGCCACACAATAGTTAATTAAAACGTAAAAGTGATCTTTTAAAAGTATTTCAACATTAGAGTTGAGTGGTAGAGGGAAAAAGCCTGGTATTTGTGTACTTTTTGAAACCCATCTCTCCCATTGCCATATGCGTGCTATAGAAAATGGTAATAGTAATTGGGAAAAAAATTATTTTAGCCATAGTATCATTTTAAATAAATGCCTTTTAAAAGGCACGTATCATTTATTTAAAGAAGAAAAAGCATAAAATATTGTATTTGGTGCTATTAGTATTAAGGCACTTGCAGGTACAGTAGCAGCTGCTTAGATTTTTTTGCTCCCATTAATCTCGGCTGTCCTTTATTTTCAGCAGTCTCTCTACAGTACTGTCCTGCTTCCTTGTTCCACATGAGAGAGGCTGTGTGGGGCCTGAGGGAGCTAGAACCAGATCTGTTGATTAAGTATGGCCTGGAAATCCTTGGGTTTGGGACATTACCCAATGCCAAGGACCTCCAAAACCCTGCCCTGGGAGGGATTGCTTCTTACAAAATTCAGTGAGGTGAGCCTTAGGAAAGATCCTGGTCTTTTTGTCAATTTTTCTGTAGAAGGGGAAGGTCCAGTGTGGCTATCTGAGCAGGAGAAATGGTAGTCAATTTTGGTAAGGTTCAGACTTGTGATCCTGGGAATCTACGCATTTCAAACGGGATGTTTTGGCAATTCAACCATTCCATCTCACAAATAACTGTGTGAATGTGTGTCCAATGGAGAGGAACTGCAAATAAGAGAGACTTGCACCATCAGTATGTCCTAATGGAGCAAACAGTTGAAAGTGGGTGGATAATATTATGTTTTGAATACCTGCAAACTTACATTTACTAGTCTACTGGAATTCACAACCTGAGCCCACAGAGTATCAATCTTCTTTTAAATGACATCATATTTAAATAAATAGGGTGGGAAAGAACCAGATCACCCTCTGGCATTATTTTAAGAGGTGCATCTAACTCCCACCTTCCAAACAGAGCTAATACTTTGAGAGAGGTATGGACTAGAAACCATTTTCCAGTCTGTTGTGACACATGAGCTCCCAGTCTGTGATCTAAAGAATAAATTATTGTTCTTTGAGCAGATCTACATATTTCTATTTAAGGGTACTGCACTGCCTTGTGGTGCCTTGTGGTAAAAACCTCTCTAGCAGTGTCATAGAACACTTATGTGCCCCTCTGCCTCTCCCCTCAGTGTCACAATGCCTGAGAGCAATGCTATAAAGGTGGCAGAGCGCTCTCCCCAACCTAGTTCCTTCCAACTGCATGCCTGGATGCATGTGAATCACTCCAGTTTCTTTGAAGCCATAGTTTCTTTCTGCTTAGAAATAGTGTTAAGCTCATTCAGTACAGTTTTTTCCTGGTTCTGGGTAATGGAGCTACTTAAATCCCAGCTTCCTCTGTTTCTTCAGAAGTGCTCTTCCTCCCAGCATTCAGTGAGCACGTGCCTGGGAGAAGAATGCTCCTGGGGAGACTCACTTGCAGCTCCTCCTTCCAAAGGAAGGCCTTGAGGCTAAATCCTCTGGACCCAATCAGGCCTCAGATCATTGGTCTAAGAGACCAGTCTTTGCCCCTGTGGCTATTAGCACCAACTGGCTGTAAGATTCCAAGAAGCTGCAACCCCTGTTGTGGTGGAATTCAGTTCCTGTGGCTCCTCAGTCAAGCCCCTGAGGCTATGCATGTCCAAACCAAGGGCCATGTGGTGGTCAGATGTAACTGTCCTAGTTCCAGAAGAGTGGTCAACAGAGTTCGGCCACCCTTACCAGTGCCATACCTTGTTCCTCCCAGTTATCTGACCCTGATGAAACCCCTGCAGCTGCAGGACCAGGGCCAGTTCTGATGTCCACTTCCAAATCCAGGAAGATGGATTTGATTGACGTATCAGAATCTGGGCCATCAGTGCCTTTTGGTTCTGTCTGTCATGGCACAGAGACAAAATGGCTGCTGTTAGTAATGCTGGTTCATATGCATCATCTGACAAGACTGCTACAGCTCTGAAACAGAAATCCATCTTTGGTAGCAAAGGAAATGGATGTGTGTCAAATATTGGATCTGATGTCACTTCTTTGGATCGGTTGTTCCCAAGTCAGTTCCAGCTACATCCTCGGTTTTGGAGAGCTCTGTCACCATGACCGCTCGGGTTCACCTTCTGGCTCCACTTGCTTCATTGCTTCTGAGTGGGGAAACACAGGGTTTCTAAAAGGAGACATTTTCCCCTGGTCCCAAAATCATCTTCCTTGTCCCCTGTTAAGAAGTAGAGGCCAGAAAACACTGTGTGTCTTTTCCCATAACACCCTTTGCTTCCTCTTCCTAGAACCCCTATACAGGGTCTCCACAAAGTGCCAGATCCCCATTCTTCCCTTGGGTTCCACTGCTATCACCATTATACTCTATATTTGATCCAGAACTGGATCCTTGATAGGAGGAAGATAGAGGAAGAATACAGAGAGCTGTGGCTCAGTTTGTATCATCCTATGGTCTGCCTCCTGCATGTTGCCAAACCCTAGTTGCTGGGGAGACTAGCAATCCTGGGGCCCATGGCCTTATTGGAGGCCACCTCAGGAATTTTTTAATTACCTCTCCATCCACTGGGAGAGTAACATTTCATCTGTTAAGGATCTGGCAATCCAGAGATATTCGGATCTGACTCCTCTGGATCCATTGTCATTATTGACAGTGATGTCTGAAATGCTGCCTGAGGAAGATGAGGAGGAGGTAGATCCTCTCTTTTGATCAGGAACATGTGAGCCAGATTTATAACTGGATGGTCATGTGGAGGATGCTACACAGTTCCATGACTTGATGGACCAAGTCTTCCTGCAGTGTCTATGGAAGAGATTTCTCACCTGGTATTTGATATCCTTGGGGGGAAAAGAGTATCCCAACTCATTTTAGCTGGTTTGCTGAAGCCGTGTGAGCTATGCCTGTTTCTTGTCAGTCTCTTTCTAAGAAAGATGACAATTCTCTCTCTGTTCTCCAATGTGAGAAGATAAGTCTATGGGATTGGTGTATTTGCTTTTCCCTCCCAGATACAGATCCACAGGATAGATGTTGTGACAATGTAGATGTGGACCATCTCAGCAGAGAGAGCTCTCAGATACATCAATGGTCCCTAAAGGATCAGTTGGTTCAGACTGTATTCTCTGTCTGGGTCAACTAGAGATGGACCTGTCTGCAATGAGTGCTAAAGTATCACCTCTTCCGTTTCAGAGAGGGCAGGGACAGTCACTCCCTGTCAGATGCCTTCCTTTTGCACTAGGGGAAGGACTTAATGTACGCTTCCCCCTGCTTTCCATTAGACACATTGGGACAGGGTAAGGATGATACTCATTGCCCCGGCTTGGTCACGTCAGCAGTGGTTTACTGATCTCCTTCAACTGTCTGGTGAAGTCTGTGTCTTCCCCTGTCCCAACAGGAGGGCAGGATCTCTGAAACTCTTCACCTGGTGGTGTGGGTGATAGGACTCTGAATACGTATGCTCTTGAGCAGTCATGTTCTGAGTCTGTGCAGGATACTAATTAACTCTTGAAAACAATCTACTAGAAACTGTTATCATCTAAAGTGGTCCAGATTTCAGATTTAAATGAAAGGACGATCTGATTCTC